ATTCCGTAAATGACATGCGTATATATGTGCTTACAGGGTTTCTTCGTCAGTTAGAGTACTCTTTGCTTTGAATATACGCACAATGTGTATATGTACGATCTATGCATGAGTAACTGCTGCAGGAACACTCATACAGTTACATGTACATGGAGGCATGCATTTGGGTTAAGTGACTAATTGGTCCTGTGAGGGATTGCGTCCGTCAGGTGTGATTCTCATTACACTCCCATGCATGCATGCCGTCGTCAAAGTGGAACTGTTGGTCCGCTTTCACTACTGCGTATTATTAACAACTTGCGCTTGGTATTATTTCACAGCGTACCGGCCCACGGCGCGATTGTATAGGCCTATTCAGCCGCAGTTTGCAAATTTGGGGAAGGACGAAATACACGTAGGCCATAGAGCTGCTCAAGCACAAAATTTGCTTAAGCGCGAGAAAACCTTGCTTGATAAATCAGGTACTCCAGATTCGTTGTATTATTTTTCCACCTCCTCTTTTTTCCGTTTTGGGGGCGGGTCAGAGCAGTGAGGGATTTGACCCCATATACTCCTCCACCACTCCCCCCCCTTTTAAGTTCAACACCTTGCAGTTATTGAAGAAATTCTGGGAGAAAAGAAGGCAGAAAGTGATTTGGAGTGACCAGAGCTTTGACATATCTGAAGATGAGACAGACTAACATTTTATTTAGACGGTGTGGCCCACTTTTTATCGAGATGATTAAATGTATTGCCATTGCCATCTTGTATCTTGAACTGAAATTGCCAATGAAAGGTTCTGTTGTTGTGTATTAGGCCTACAGGTTTTGAGTCATAATTTTAAAAAATGTGAAACTTCCGAGCTCCCTCCTCCCAGAGACTCAAAAAGGTCTGTTTTTGAAAAAATTAAACTCTACATTAATTTGTCAGGTAAATTTCGTTTGTTGGTGTGCATATTCTCCACTGCTTTTCACTCACAGCATTTCTGCTTTTTTATTCATCGGCTAATCCAGCTTTGCAGAGGGGCATATCTATGGATGTCATCTAATATAAATTCACATGCCCCAGGCATTTTGTATGATTATTGCCTGGCCGATATAGTCACCGACGACGATAGTGCTGGGGCCCCTCACCATCCGGTTGAGTACCGATCAGCCCGCAATAACAATACACAGGTTTCCTAGGTTGGGTTGCATGGCGCTGATTACTTGTCAGTGAAATGTTTTCCTCAAGAATCTGGTTATGTGGCGGACCCGTCCGCATTGATTAAACATCGGAATGGAATCCACTCTGAGCGGAACAAAAGGGGGCTTGTTTTTTTGGTACTCATCACATAGGCGCGCCATGAGGCGTGCAAGTATATGAGCGTTTGACGTGGAGCACGCTTAGTACGCGTAACTAACTTACTCCGGCTTGTATGGTCTTTGCGTATGCACAGAACACATGCAAGAACCCGATCGTAACCACCTGTCTTTCTTTTCGCCGATTGGGGGGTGCACTTCAGCTCGGGGCAGACAGTAAATGGAATTTTCATGTACGTGTACATGTATGTGCTTGTGGGTGAATGGGGGTTGAACGTCCATTTTTCAGGTCAAATTACAAGTCCTGTGAAGCCTCAGATGTATTCATTTGGTTTAAAGGTACATGTACATGTAACTGTGTAAATGTAACTGTATTTAAGAGTTATTTTTTAAAATGAGCCTTTCTTATCCCATTTGTTGTTACGTATTGTTCAATCTTTGTGTTGCCACTTTGAAGGGGTTTAAGGATTTCATTGCAAATTTTCACATTCATGAGCAAAGGAGTGATGTCATCATATTCAAAAATTTCAAAATTAGGCAACTTAGAAAAAGTTTAGCATCAGTTGTAGATGTATTTGGAAAAAGCGACGAGGGAGGAAGTTTATTTTTTTAATGTTTTGGTAGTACAGCATGCTTTAGACTAAAAACGACAACTTCTCAGCATACATCATCAAACTGTCAAAGGAACATCTCAGTGTGCACTGCACAACACGAGAGTTGTACCGATCCGAAATAGGCATGCCATCGTAGTTGCCATTGCTGTAATGCATGAAGATGTCGCAGGCACATCACACCCATACCAACACTTTGGGACTTTGGCATTTGCATTGTAACAACTGCCATCTTTCATTTAGACAAGTTAAATCTTCGAGATCAGTTATAGTTCCGAGATCTGGACTGCCGCTACCACGGAATTAAAGCGCCATGTCCACTTCAGACTGGTGCACAGAAGTGCACACGACATTGTGTGTATATGTTGGTTGCATGTGTACAAATGTACATGCACGAGGTTGTGTGGACGTTGTAGAAATTACGGTGGACAGCTAAGGACATCGGAAAAGACAACTTTAAAAGAAAGAAAAATTATGCGGCAAGATTTTTTTGAGGCGGTGCTGATGCTGAGCTAATTGTGTTTTTTTTATGTGGCCTTACTGCTGCTTCATCATCAAATGTTGTCAGAATTTTGTTTGTTCCAGCTTAAATTTGAGCATTTTTGGGGGAGGGGTGTCCTGAATGGGACAATTTTCTTGTTCTTTCAATGGCACGGAGTGCTGATATGTCATCACCGATTCAAGATTTTGGTCAATAATTTGAAGCAACATTTCAGTAGGTTTCAGAAAGGGAATTATGCATTTAGAACGTTGAAAAAAGAGTCTACACTGGAAAGAATGAAGCATTTAAAAATGAAACAAAGGATAATCTCGTTATTTTCATGAACTTCAGGGAACTTCTTTGTTTCATGGAGTCTCAACAATTCAATTATGACATGCATGTACACATACACGTGTACAGTGATTATAGATCTAACAGTTAACTGCCTTATTGAAAAACAAATTCACAAAACGAGGCATTCTTCCATATCATGTTGCTGAGCCTGGTTATCTAATTCAATTTGGACTTTCCCGTCTGCTCTTCGGGTTGTTATCAATATTTAATTGATATTTCCATATCCATCACCTTGCCTGTGTTGGTGTTTTTTTTTTCCGTATTTTGTTAAATTGAAGCCGCAAGTTTTACATGTCAATAAGTTCAGTGATGACTGGGATGTTTTGTTGAGGTCTGGAGGGTGCTGGGTCTGTTTCTATCCTCTACAACCATTACTGTTCAGTGGCAGTGGTCGTTGTTCACCTGTCGCAGTCACAGCGGGTTTGCTTGTATCATTACATTGACAGCTAACAGGTAGGGTGACATGTACTTCTCTTTATTTATTTTTTTCTCCGGTTCCTTCTTTAAAGAACCTTTGAGAATCAGCCAGGGCAGTTCGATAAATTGTACCAGTCAGACTGCACAGTTCTTGATCGGTACCAGGAGTGTGTTGTTTTGGCGACTTTTTTGTCTGGGGGGGAAAAAAGGTGAATGTTTTGTCTTTTCCTGTCCTGACGCCCGTGGAGAAAAAACCTCATGAATACTGTATACATGTAGTGTGTTTTGTTGCAACATGTCGGGCACGCAGGTGTAGAGTTTCTGGAATGGGTAAATGTTTGTGGTGTCATTTCCTCATTTTTGGATGTGGCCAGACGTACAAAGGTTGAGGGTTCCAGTAAATATTGTTACTAAGTGTTACCCCCGGGCACACAGTTCAGGACATTGTTGACAAACCAATCTCTAAAGTATCTTTCTGGCTTTCCCCCAGCTACCTCTGCACATGTTTTCCTGATCCTGGTCAGCTAACAAGTTTTCTTTAGCCTGCAGTTTAATGGAGTGAGGTTACTTTTTCACTAAATGACCAATAATAAACGTATTTTAAAACACAGTGGAGAAATTTAACAACGGTTTTTGCAGATGTAAACTGTGTTGGCTTATTTATTCTTGGTTTGGATTGGTGTTTGTTCGAGTGTTTGTGGCCCAGACTACCTTGGATAATGTGAGGAGACAGCTCTAAATGAATTGGAATGCGTCAAATGTGAGCATGTGCACAATTTTGCGTAATCCTCCCACTCTAGCCAACCAGATTTGATTGTGGGGAAAATCTCACTTGGAAATGACATCAAGGCTGCCGAGTAGTCCAGTCTTGTTCCCTGATCTGATCATTCCCTCATGTCCTGTTGTCTGTAGTGTAAATTACTGACAGAGGTAGCCACCACCAACCAAACCCCCAAAAACAAAACGTGGAAGATGTCAGGGTGCAAGCCTTTTTTTAGATGCAGCGCAATGCAAATTTCTGTACTGACAAAAGGCATAATGGATATTTGTATTAGGTAACTGAAATGTACATATACAACAGTTCTTCTTACAGAATATCAGGATTGTCAACAGTAACATACTAATGCTGAGATTACCAATGGAATTTAAATTACCAGCGGAATGTGTGTATTTGGAGAATTCGGGACGATTTTAGAAACAGGTGCAAGTCCTGCCGCTTTGGTCATGTGACTTTGGCAGATACCCAACCCTCACTTTGCCAGAAGCTACCGGTTACATAAAGGCTAATGTGGCCCTCAATGTACGTGTATTTCATGGCTTAACATGTTTAAGGGAATGAAATGTCTGGTGGGCACTTTTACATGTAATTAGTGTGTTCGAAATTGGAAAGGGATGATGCGACAGTAATAAACCAAGCTGAAAATGTTGTATGGTAAAAACGATAAAAGTTAAGTCGGAAATTCATCTTTTTTCTTTCCTTGGGCCATGTGTGTGGTATTGTGCGCAGAGCCAAAATCTTCATGTGGAAGTTGGTGTCTCATGGGAGTGTGCTTTGTTGTGTGATGTTCATGTAGAATGCTGCTGAGTTGCAGCTGACTACATGTATAAGTGAAATGAAGATTCATTGCAGTGCTGTTACCTACACGTACATTATTATGAGTGTCATGTATGAGGGGTTAGAGTCCATACAATAGGGGTCAACATTTCATACCCCACTGAGAATATGTTTAAAACCAGTTGGTACCTGTACTTTTACCATGGGATTAAAAGCCACCCACATGGTGGGCTCTGACCAAAAGGAATGGGTAACACTAGCTGCGATATTTATGAATTTATATTTTTATTTTTCACCGCGCACAGAGGATGATTTGACAGGCATGGAAGGCCTGGAGAACACCGCCAAGACGGCTGGCGAGAATGAACTGTGCTTACCCTGCAAGGTGTGCGGCGACAAATCCTCGGGGTTCCACTATGGCGTCATGGCCTGTGAAGGATGCAAGGTAGGTTTTACAGTACATGAATATTACACCGACGGATACCGATGATGTGTTTGTGTTTCGGTACATGTACCAGGAAGGTTTAGCTCGCCGTTGCTGACAGTGGGAACTGATACTCAGTGGTACCTAAGTGTGCTCGCTTCTCCCGCACACAGTTGACACAAGTGGGTAATTTTGGTTTCCATAAACTTGAACTGAGCACCCAGTTCATTTTTTGCTTTCCCACCGTGGAAGTTAATTTCCTAATTCAGAAGGTTTCCACTTCAGTTGTCCCAGGTCCACAAGTGAGTGGATGGAATCAGTTTGTGTAAAACCCTGTAACATAAGCATTGGAAGGCACATGCTTGCATCTCTGCTTGTGAAAACCCGAAACCGTTCCAACATGGCAGGTGTCAGTCGGGTCATTCCATGAGGTTGGGGCACAATATGTGATGGTGTCCTTGTTACATCCAAAACTTTTACCACCTGTCATGACCTGTAGAGTAGGTCATTTACTCTGTAAAAATAACATACACCTCTGTATTTAGCCTAGGAAGATGTATAACAATGCCAATTTGGAATCCACATGCAGGGAAATAGCTGTTCATTTTTACGGAACCCATGTAATAATGGACACCCTCACAAATTGTGCCCCATCCTCATGGAATGACCCAGTTACAGCCAAAACCAAAAAAGTTCAATGCGCAGATTTCACGTGTCTGGACAAAGTGCTTGGTGACGATCGACTTATGTACTCTTGTGATGTCACACACAACTTGCTCTGCGTATACATGATATTTATGCCTCGCTCTCTACACGTCGGTGTGAAACGCGTGCAAGATCAATGGAATGTTACAGATGGCAAAACAGGTCTGTTGAACCATTGGCATGTGTAATCGCTCCACTGTCTCGCAGGCCCTTAGTTCCATCAACCACCATTTGTTAGATTGTGCCGGGTACCAAGGTCATAATTTACACATCAGTTACCGTTATCAGGCAAAATCAGCCAGTGGTTAAACCAATGGGCGTGGAATGTTGGTCTCAGTTGAACGAAAAAGAGTGGTACTTGTGTGCACTATTTTTAGTACAAGACAGCATCACAGCAGCTCAAAAAGTCTGACATGCCAAGATAGCAACCAAAGAATTGTACCGTTAGCCTTCAGAGTTCTGCGTCTGTGCACATGAACATGTTAGCTCGTACGAGCTATTTTTTTTATTGTGCCTCGCGGTAAAGGCGATTGGAAATGATTTATTCGGTTTGGAAATCGAATACAAAACAAATACCTGCGTTGACTGCTAGGAGTGGCATCCAGAAACTACTGTTAGTAGAACCATATGTCCAGCTGATCTTTGGGCTCTCTTTCTATTGAATGTTTTTCCGCCATAAAATTTGCTCAGCCAATCTGCAGTACAAAATAATGTTTGCATGTGCAGTCAGATAAACTTGTGTAGCAATATTTTTTTTCATGTAATCACGATGCAAATCAACAGCACACAATTACAACATGAATTGCCCTGAACTGGTTTTGAAGTTATCTTTCTGAGAGAAAACAATTTGCCAAGTAGGATTATCAAAGATCAACATCCCAAATAATTAAATGTGGTGTACCCCAAGGCTCACAATTATGTAAATGATTCATGTAATTCTTCAAATATATTGCCTTACAATTTATTTGCCGATGATATTAATATCTTGTACAGTTGTGACAATTTGCAAGTAGGTTTTAGAATTGTTAATAGAGAACTAGAAAAAAATGTACACACAGTTAATCAGTAACAGCTTATCCATAAATGTTAACAAAATTGTTTGTATATAATTTACTAATACAAATAAGGACATTGAATCAAATATTTATAGTAATGATACAAAAATACAAAAAGTAAGCAGTGTAAAATTCTTAGGAATTAACATTGACAATAATTTTTTTTTTGAAAACCCAGTGCCAAAATGTGCACATGTCCACCTCCAGAAATCTTGGTGCTCTTAAAACTTAAAAAACTGAAGCACATGTTAGCCCCACAGAGTCTTTTATCTACCGTATATGATACATTAATTTTACCTCATTTACAGTATGGTGTATTAGCTTGGGGCAATACTTACCAAACATGTATTGTTCAAAAGAGAGCCTTAAGACTGATTCATAACTCAAGTTATAGATCACACACTAGACCTCTCTTCTTAAAATTCAAATGCCTCACTATCTTAAATATTTTCGAATTTCACTTTGGCATTTTGATGTATAAATTTGAGCACCAAATCCTTCCAACGGCCATACAAACTATGTTTACTCTAAACAGTTCAATCCATAATTATAATACAGGATTGCCATCCCAGTGTCACATTTTCAGTGCACAAACAAATTTCTCCAAATCAACTGTAAGACACCAAGGCCTGATGGTATAGCTTAAACTGCCTATCCTCAACACGTACCGTTTATCAAGTCAAGAAAAATCCTAAGAGTTTCTTACTTACCAGTGATTTCAACTCATAAATATTCATGTGCAACCCGTGAAAATGGTTTGATCAATGTTTGAAAAAATTGTGTAACATGATCACAAAGAGTTCCTCTAAAAACCCCAAAATGCTCAACTCCTGAAAAAATACACTGCGGCGATATCAGAAAAAAATTGGAGGGGAGGATTTCCTCCCCCTTCTCTTAGGATTAAGAGGTCTCAGTTACATGTACCGCATTGATTCAAAGTGTGGAAGACATTGACCCTGTGTTCCCTCTGAGCTCTACAAGGGTGATGAATTGTGATGATGACACCGCTCGCAAAGAGATGCTGATTGTAATGGGACTAGCGCAAGCAGAGGCGATAATGTCAAAGATGGTAAGAGATGATGATGTTAACATGTTGGATGCCCACCAGGAGTACGTATTATTTATACTGACAGGTGTACCAGATTGTGCGTATTATACTGAGGAGCGTATTGGATTCTACTATTTGTACCACAAGTATATTCATACATTAGTATAGAAAAGGGCTTTGAAATAGTACTGTGCACCATGCAAACAGAGTGACTGATTATCCATCAGATGCATTGTTGTCAGTACGGAGAGTGTACTTGAACAGCATAGGAAGTGAACACGTAACAGCCGGAGGGTACCCTGTACATATTTGGGCATGCGCATATCGCTTGGCGAGGAGGGTGCCCTGTGAGAGTATTGTTTGCAGTCAGTGTGTCAATGACGAGAGGCCATGGCCACAGTTGACTAGGTAGGGGAGGGGAGGGGATAGGGGTGGGGTGGTAGCGATAACGATTTTTGCAAGGGTTTAATTTCTTCAGCGTACATGTATGTACATTGTTCATCATTGCTAAGTTTGTATTCTGTTCCGAATACATGTAACTATAATTAACTCGCAGCAGTTCAAAAACTTTGATTTCCAAAACCTATTGGCCTGCAATTTTTAGGACTATTATAAACAGCCCTGTCGCCAGCTTGGGGGGTGGAAGGGGGCATAGCACCAGCTAGGAGGCACATCACAAGAACAATGGATAGTGTTCATGCTTATGTTGATCACGCCTGATCATACATTTAAGTTGATCTAGGAAGGAAATACTGGTATTTAAAAAGAGATGATGTGAAGGGGTACTGAAAAAGTACAAACCCTATTTGTTTTCAATTCAAAAATCATACAGTTCTTGTTTATGGTGGCCAAAAAACAGAAACAACAAGACAAAACGAAATCATGCACAGCCGTCTTTACTCACACATGATTTTAAGCAGCGTCTGCATCACATGCACCAGGTACATGGAGGGTTTATTATCCAGCACACTACCGGTTGATCTAGTTACATGATTATTTGATACGTCAGTCTGGCCGGCCGTTCACCCCTCGGGGAACCTGGGCTGTCGCCATGTTGACAAAAAAAAAGCCCCTGGTACCGGGTTCAGATTAAAGTCAGTTGACTGAAAAACAAAACTAGCTTCAGCTGTGATGTGACACCAGCTCATGGTTTCAATTTGCATTGGCAATCTCCATTTTCTTCAGACTGATTTCCATTCAGTTTTCCCTGTTTTATGCAGCTGGTTTCAGCCTGGTTTGATATGGATTCCCAAGTTCCAGTAAATCTGCTGTGGGCTTTTTTTTCTTCTGAGTTGATAAAAATTGGTGAAATCTTGACCACTGTCAAGTGTTTGCTGTTGGAGACTTGTCTGCTCCATTTTTTTCGTCAAGGTTGTGAGGGACGGGAGGTTCATGAAGGCAAGGTGTTGTCAGGTTTGTCAATTTTGTCATTGTTGATTGTTTAACCAAGAGTTTGGGAGACAGAGTAAAGTGTGCCATGTATTGAGGCAAGCCATGTCCATTTTGTGTTGTATCGTCCATTTTTCTGAGGTCTCATCCATTCTGAAAATTTGACCTTTTTGGTACATGCCCTAGTTAACAGCCATTTTTTTTTCTACGGGATGAGCCCTGGAATTCTGATTTGAATTTCACAATGTTTATCTAGGCGCTTGAACTTCCGAGAGCTTTTCAGTATGGGTTGCCATTTATAGCGAAACGTCTGCTCATGGAGCCATGCACGCCACACGGCCGGCACTTCATGTTCTGCGTGCGGGCACGTCGGCGCATTCATTTCAGGCCGACTGGAGGTTCCATGCATCATGCATGCACAGGTCAGTGACCCCCATGCTGGGTCCCCTGAGCTCTGGGCATGTTGAGGAGCTATGAATGATTGCCGGCCCGTACAAAAGAAACCACATGGTGGGCAGCCAATTCAGTCAACTGCAGCATATTCTGTGTGAATTAATGACCAATTTTTGTGTGCGTGGGGAGACTAGTGCACAGTTGCACTTTTTTTTGTCCATTAAACGGTGCATGATGTAAACAATGTTGTTTTCCCAATCATTCTGTCACCAGAATAGAATGTTTATTTACGTTGTGTTTGGCTTAGGCAGTGCCCAGTTTCATGAACTTCCAACCACAGATTTGATCACATATTCAAGTCTGTCTTTATTCTGCAATAAGGTTACATTGTTAAAATTACATCTTATTTTAATAATTCTAGTTCAGACAAA